CGCACTTCTGCCCCGCGCCTCCGGAGTAGTACCACCATGGAGGACGGAATTAAAGAGCTTCTGAAGGACTTCAAGTACCGGTTTTCCACCCGCTTTTAGAAGCTCCGCTGTAATTTCATCCTCGCCCGGGGACTTGCCGATTTTAAGGTGCTGGAGAGCCATTCTAATCTCGCTTAGACTGACGTCCGGGATATCATCGGAATAGTGTCGGATAAGGCTCGCTCTTGGATCGTTACTCACACTTGCGTGTGGCTCCAACGATGACGTGTACAGCTGCCCATAGAACCTCTCAATCTCACTCAAAATCTCAGGTGTCCCGGAAACGATGCTGCCACAATCGGTCTTCAGCTTTGACAGTTGGCTCTTTCTGGCAGACAGATCTCTGGCAAAGACTTTTGAGCCTTGGTTCCTCTCGATCGCTTCTTCAATACAAGCTGTATTGAAGTTGCATAAGTCCCGCCGCATGCATTTGGAGATCTGTCTGTTCAGTTGCCTGTATGCTGTCAAATCTGTTGTAGAATGTAGCTTCATCTCCCGTCTAACAGCCATGACATTAAGAGTGTGATCGGAGAGTTTTTGTGTTCTACTGCGACGGGTCTTGCAGAACTTAGCTCTGACCGCATGGACAATTTCCACGAACTTATCATTCATATCGACCATTTCATTGCAGTCTTCTAGGCACTGAAAACGGTTTTGTAACTCGAGCTGAAAGGTTTCGGGACTTTGGAACAGAGCACGAGGAGGACGGAGCGTTGACTTCATTAGACGAGACCTCTCCAACTTAATGTTTAGGTTCAGTGTGCCTCTAACCATTCGGTGATCGCTACCAGTTTTCACCCTCGCGATCACGGAGACATCACTGAGCAGTTGTCGTCTGGTCGTCATAATGAAGTCAATCTCATTTTTTGTCGAACCGTCGGGGCTCGACCAGGTCCACTTCCTGTGGGGCCGCTTCTGGAAGAAAGAGCTGCTGGTCCCTTGGGTTCCGTTGCCCTATTTCGAATTTCCCTACTTTCAGCTCACCGTTCTCTCTTGTGCCTAGTTTTGCATTGAAGTCTCCCATTAACACCGTATAGTGGGCTTTGGAGGAATGCATGGCTCTAGAGATATCCTCATACATTTCCTCCACCTCCTCATCGGTGTGTGCCGAGGTTGGTGCGTAAACCTGTATGACCTTCAGCGAATACCGTTTGGTGATTCCGAGTATCAAATACGCAACCCTCGTCGACACACTCCCAATCTTTACAACGTTGTTAACGAGAGACGATAAATCCGACACCTCCTTGGGACAGATGGTCGCCCTCCCGGTGATAGAACAAGTTGCCGGATTCGAGGATTACCGTGTCCTCCCTCTCTCTTCGGACCTCGGATAATCCTATAATATTCCAGCGCAACTTGTCTATCTCTTCTTCCAGCTTCACGATCTTCTCGTCAGTCCTCAGGGTGCGTGCGTTATAAGTTGCCAGGTCGAGTCGTCGTAGGTGGCAACCGAACCTCCACCGGAGATTCTTAGCACCCCCTGCCCCGTCGTTACCATGGTCGCCACCGTACCCAAGAATAGCGGGGCCACCGGGGCCTGGGGGCCGTCTTTTCATAATTTTTTTCATTGGGGGGTATATTGCCATAGTTGCCACGCTTGGAGAGCGGGTTGGCAACCGCAGTTTTTTTTTATTGGGATATCGTTGTTATCACGAAGATGCTGCTGCCCATCTCCTGCCTGTTTCCCATTGTCGCCTTTTACGATACCCACGGGAAGATGTGGGGTATATATATATTCTTAACCGCCACTACACGGCGTAGTAGTAGTAGCCCTCTAGTCATCCCCCACCAATTTGGTTTCCGAGCGAAACATTCTTGCCCCCAACAAGTTCACCGTATTGTGGAATATATCCTCAGCGATTTCTATCCACGTCGTCATAAGACCATCGCGGTCTCTTTCGACATAGCAAAGGCATTCGATAGTCTGGCACGAAGGCCTTATATATAAACTTTACAAAATAGGTCTCCCTGATCGTCTTGTTCGTCTCGTAGCCTCTTACATGAAGGATCGTACCTTTCGTTTTAGACACGAAGGTACGCTCTCATCTCAACGCCCTATCAAAGCAGGTGTCCCTCAGGGCTCAGTGCTTGCCCCCCTGCTGCACATCCTGTACACCAACAACATTCCCATCCCGTCGAAAGGTATTCAGCTCTCACTCTTTGCAGACGACACTGCACTCTACTGTAAAGATATCTACTACCTTTCATACGGAACAAGATCCAAAAGTCAGTTGATGACTTAGGAGCTTGGTTCCAAAAATGGCGCATCGATGTGAACCCGGAGAAAAGCTCCGCCCTTCACTTCGATCATAAACGACGCCGCCTCACTACCATTCCACCAATCCGTATGCTAGGGACCCCTGTCCCCAGGCATATGACTGCCAAATATTTAGGTGTCACCCTTGACACGAGGCTTACCTTCGGGCCCCATGTCAAAAGAGTAACCCGCAACGCACGTTTTTACCTGAATAGGCTCAACAGTATGCTGGACAGACACAGTAAAATGTTCCTCCGCAACAAGCGAACCTTTTATAAGGTCTGTATACGACCAGTCATGACTTACGCGGGCCACATATTTGCCCACGCTAATCCCAAAACATTAATGAACTCCAAATAGTTCAAAACCTCTTCTGTCGTCGAGCTGTGAACGCACCCTGGTACGTCCGTAACGCCGACCTCCATCGAGACTTAGAGCTCCCCACAATCCAACAATTTCTAAAAACACTCTGAGAACTTCCTCAAAGCCTCAGTCTCACTCGAATCACTTCATTCGTGAGGCAGCTTCCCATGCAGCCCCACTCCCCTCTCGCTATCAAGTCCGAAGACCGAGAAACTCTCTCTCGGACCCGCCAAACAAGCTTTCGGCCAACCTGAACTGCCTCCTGGCGGCTCAGGCCGCCTCTTCTTAATTTGCCTTAGTTAGGCTCCCCCTCAGCGGCTTGTCACCGCCTGCGCCCCCCTTTCCCTAAAGAGGGTCGCTTCCGATTCGGCATAAAGACCTCAAAAGCCAATGTCAGTCTCACAGATGGTGTTTAGTAGATAGGCACTTAGGTTAGGTTAGTCGCAGTGAGTCCCACATACCCACGACAGCCGGCTGTCGTGGTATGCTTAGAGCATTCACCACCCCCCCTTCCTCGCTTTCCGGAGGGTAGCCGTTTCAATTTCTTCTAGGCGCAAAAAAAAACACTCCATGAGCAAATATTTTGCGGTGGTATTGTTTTATATGCGGATTTCACAGACATGTGCACACATTCTCATCATTTTAACGTTAGGAATGATAAGTTGATAAGTGTGATTTAAAACCAAATGCGCGATTAAATATTTGTAAATGAATGAATGAAATGCGTATTAAAATCTTTATATTACAACTAGCTGGCCAGGCAGACGTTGTTCTGCCCTTTTCGACGACCATTCATATAAAATATCCTTAAATTCGTAATAAAAAAATATTGAGTGTCACTTATCAGGATAAAAACTATCCTATCTCTCAAGTTAGACCAAACTGCACAGTGTGCAAAATTTCATTGAAATCAGTTAGTAGTTTAGGAGTTCATCGCGGACAAACAACGTGACACGTAATTTTTATATATAAAGATAACTACAGTGAAAATAAAACCAGAGTTGTGAGACAAAAGTTTATTTCAATGTATATTATTTTACGACAAAATTTAAGCTGTTTATTTTTCTACAGAAATAGTCATACAGGGCACCTTGTGTCACATTTAGCAGCGTTATATCGCATTATACCTTGTTCCAACGAAATTGTGTATAACCACAAATGCTATGTATTTAGCTATTACATACGATACAAACAAATTCAATACGAATTAATCGACGACACCATAACTTACTACCATATAAATAAATTTAAGTGTTAGAGCCAGTTTCACTACTTCTGAATTAACTACCCATCAACAAAAACTGCTAAGAGTACAAATAACATAAATATCACTTACTCAATGCATCGGTAGTAAGTGAAACAAGCCCCTCGGACAATAAAATCACAGTGTAATAAATTGAATGTTGCTAACACATGCTACTGCATTGCACGCACCTTATAGTAATGGACCTACTACTATTTGAAATTGAATATTTACCAACATTATATGGGTTACTAAATTTATTGTATTATTATTTATTGTAGTTTTTTTTACTCCTTTATTATTATCCTGTATTATTATTAACCTTAATTAAAGAATCAAGTTTTGCATCTAGAGAATTAAAATCAGTGTTATTTCAATACATAGTTAATTAATTATTGCTAGAAAATATTTTCGAGAGAACTAAGTGTGTATAAGAAAAACAAACGAATGGACATTTAAAATTAATAATGCTTCTAGTGGATATGAAAAGTTAGTAGTTATAAGAATAATTACTTCAGAGGCATTCTCTGAATAATAAATCATACTTCAGTCAGTGGTAAATATTACATTATATAAAGTAAATATCACTATACTATAGTGACATAAACAATGCTTAGGGATGTTTCCAAATAATTCCTACATACTATGTATGAGATTTTAGACAATTGGGTGTGGTTAGTTTTTCTTTCAGAGACATTTCTGAACCGAAGACTATTGAACAAATAACGATCTGGATTGTATTCTCCTAAAACATCATAAGTGAAGGTCAACAGTTTGGTACACTTTGTAAACATTTGATATCTATATTTTGTAAACTGAAATAAGTAAATGCCTATATTATTTAATTTGGTTCTTGAACTGTGTGTAACATGTGTTTAGTAATAAAAATTGAACAAGCCATACACCATTACAAGTCTACATTAATAATAAACCAGAATTATACATAAATTACAACTATTAATATAATGCTAAATGTGAACCATGAAGCTATCTACCCTCTTCATTATCATATTGGAACATCTCTAAGCCCGTTTCTGATTTCATACGAAGACTTATTAGGTCCATCAAAGGTGCCTTGCAGTTAAGTAATATACAGCTTTAGCTAGTGGCACACTGCACTCTATTCATGCCAGGTTGCTCGTCATCCTCATCGTAAGCACTGGCGTGGTGAGCTCGCCGTCTACGACTTTCTCGTTCGGGATCCAAGTCCATTAACTGGCACTCTTCAGCCAATTCAGGTATATCAACCTTTAGATAAAAACGGTTATACTTTAATGAAAAACAAAAATTGCTTGCTATTTAAGTTACAGAGCTGCTTCTGTTTTGTAAAAGCAAAATTATTAATTACACTATTGTCCAACGCTGAATGGACTTAAAGACTTATTATCCGTAAAAGCCCTAGTGTGTAAATGTTGCCTTCAGATTTTTACTTTTCTTTTTTAAGAGTTACAAACAAACACACAGTCCTCCTGATGTTAAGTGGATGCTGTTCCCCGTAAACATTTATATACTATCCTCGATTAAGAATCAAAATGCAGATGCATTGCCACCTCTGAGGACTAAGATGGAATGCTTTATTTCCTGTAAAATGGGTTTCCAGTTCTCTACACTCACCATACGAAACACAGCAGGATTGAGCTGCTAATTTACGATGGTATTCTGTGAGTGTGGTCCTTACCCAGTCAAGCCAACCCAATTGTGCTACAACTATGATATAGCTGCAGCATGGCTCTACCACATAAATATTTAATTGTTTGAATGCTCCCAGTGCTTTAATGAAGTTAGAAGTTTCAATGACAACCCTTTAATGGATTAAATATCACAGTGGATCTAGGGGCCTAATGCCGCCGATGAATAGAAACAGCTGAATCCATTATTGTACTCCCTTTTGGGTATTTAAAGATAAGTAGCATGCAATCATACTATATATCAATCAACATACACAATTCAGGGTTAACCAGTGGATGTAGGACAGCCAGTGAAGTTCTACCTACTATTAACATCAACATATCCAAAAACTTACTCAGACAAACACACATCAAATAAAACTGATTACTAGTGCCATAATAGTACACTGCTCTTTTATTAAACATTTCTCTTTACAATTATCGGGAAATATCTGCCTATGCGGCCCTGGCTTGTAAGTACCCGCCCCATCTTTTTTATGGAATAGTATACCCGCCCCGTCTTTTTTACGTAATTCCTGACCGCCGAGAGGAAGTAATAGACCTCACTCACAGCTAAGCAAATCCTTCAATCATTAAATCTGAATTATTAATCTAAGCCGTAAGTAATTAGAATAGTTCATACTGGTTGCAGTGAAACTAGTCTTGTAAGAACTGACTAGCTGCTCACACACATTGAAAAATAATGTTTTTAATGTTTTTAGCAGATTGGATATTTGTCATGAGCATTAAAATTGCATTCCTATATTAAGGGGTGAATAAAAAGGGTTAATAAAGCTATGGTCAAATTGTCTGAATTCAAGTTGGAAGGAAGTATTATCAATATGATAAAGTAAAGCTTCTTACCCTCGGTCTAGGCGGCAAGCAGTTCTCCAATGCAGGAATGACTTCAGGTGGAATGCGTTCAGGGAAATTAACTAAGAACTGAATAATAAGCTGTCCCTTTTCAAATGGATTTTTGTACATAGGCATACCTGAAATGAAAATAAAAGTTATTGTAATGATTTCTTATATTTACGCGAAGACCACTCATTTAATGAAACTAATTTTTACGGATTTTATCGCGTTTAATTTAACTTTTTAATTCCCGACATTTCGGGTGCTTTACAGCGCCCGTGGCCACGGGGAAACTAAAAGTTATTGGCTACTTTCATGTACGGCAAATTTCTTTACATTGTATTTCATAAGCTGTATAAAGTCTTAGGATAAATCATAACATTAATAGATATAATTTAAAATGTGACATGAACCAATGAGCAGGAGTTTTGTTATATTATGTACATATGAAAGGAAGTCAAGTGATGTAGGTGGCTTGAACCATGCTTTATGACATTCCTTGGGGGAGGCCTAAAGTCAGCAGTAAGCTTGTGATGGGTTGTAATGATGATGATGATGATGATTTACATTTGTATTAGACATGGAACGAGTAGTGATTCGCCGAGTACTCAGCCTAGATTGGGCCGAGTATTCTGCCGAATACACGGCTTTAAAAAAACGCGGTAGCGGGCGGCGTGCGGTTATTTCCCTTACAAACTAGACCCAAATAGGGCCCAAAAACTAGTGTTTTTGCATTACAATCTTCCTCTTTTAAATTTTAAATATTAGTAATAATAATTTCTATTATCAGCTTGGCGTGCTCAGCAGAACGGGACAGTATTTCATGCCGGTACAACGCCTGCAACTTTACAAGGCGCAGGTTCGGCCTCACATGGAATACTGTTCCCATCTCTGGGCCGAGGCACCCCAGTGCCAGTTCCTTCCACTTGACCGCATCCAGCGCAGAGCGGCTCGAATCGTCGACGACCGAGTCCTTTCCGATCGGCTCGGTTCATTGGCGCTGCTAAGAGATGTTGCATCCCTTTGCATTTTCTTTCGCATCTACCATGGGGAGTGCTCTGAGGAATTGTTCGGATTAATCCCAGCCGCCAAATTTCACGAACGTACATCGCGGCAGAACTCCCGATACCATCCACACCATCTGGATGATTGGCAGTCCACCACTGCGATTTAGAAGATGTTTTCTTCCTCGCACAACTTCCTTCTGGAATCGATTACCATCAGCGAGTTTTCCGGACCAATACGACTTAGGGACCTTCAAGAAAAGAGCCTACTCCTTTTTAAAAGGCCGGCAACGCATCTACAATTCCCCTAGTGTTGCGGTTGTTCATGGGCGGTGGTAATCACTTACCATCAGGTGAGCCGCATGCTCATTTGCCCCCTCTCCTATAAAAAAAAAATAGATTCTTATGTATGTTCTAAATATTTCTACTTCTTCTCATGTTCCAGATGTTTTAATGTGTCTAATATAATAATAATGATACAAATTGACTTTTTGTCTTTTTCTCTGAATTATAATTAAGGCCGAGTACTCAGTACTCGGCCATTAATACTCGGTGCTTGGCCGAACCCTAAAAAAAGGCCGAATCCGCCGAGTACCAAATCCAAACAGAGTACTCATCCCATGTCTAATTTGTATTCCATTAAATGACCACCATACATTCATTTACATTTTGTGGCTTTATTTAATTTTAATTCATTACAGCCTATAAAACAGTCTGCAGTGAAACAGGCTTCACCCATAGATTGTCTCATATGGGATGTCTGCCATAGTTGCCATTCTTGCTAGGTGGGTTGCCACCACAGTATTTTGTTGTAGTTGTTGTTGCAGTTAACAAGCTTTGTTTGTCTCTATATTACTAAATAAATAAGAACAAAACCTTTGTAGCTTTGTGCTATAGCATGCACCACATAATCTTATAATACTATTCATAAAATTAGATGTAAAATCTTTAATTCATCAACTTTATATTGTGTTTGTTAAAATAATATGTTTACAAACCTTCATTCTGCACACATTTCACTTCTCCATGCTTAGTGACCTCACCAGGTAAAACAGTTATCACAATATCTCTATCATCTAGGGTTCTGATTACTTTCTGGAAACCACACAGTGATTCAACCAGTTCTATATTTAAACGGATAATGAGGTCATTACCAGAACGTTTGAAGACCTGTAAATGAAATTGAATATATTAACATAATTTTAGGGTCAATAGTAATACTTTATTGTACACCACAAAAACAATATATTCATTTATATATTACTCATGTATTCAAAATATGTTCATAAGTTAATGATAAAAATAAGGCAAGTTTGATTTAGAGCATACAAAGCAGCAATATCTATAAAATATGAGGTGGTTTTCAATTCTAATTATAGATTAAATTATTAATATGTTTAGTCATGTAGTGGATGTCACATGTTAGAAGCAACTAAAGGAATGTCACATGTTAGAAGAAACATTAGACATAATAGAAAAATTAAGAAAGGGGCCAAAAAAAAACTGCTAAATTATTACCTCATGTTCTTTTTCATCTAAAACAATAATAAGATCTCCTGGTTCCAAGTCAGGTTCTTGATCACCCTCTCCACTGAACACAATCTTCTGTCCATCAGTCATACCCTTGTCCACATGAACTTCAAGAATTTTGCGATCCCGAACAGTCTTTCGTCCCTGAAATTATAGTAGCATTGTAAATTTACTTGTACAACAATAGGATTAACTTTGCATTTGCGTGTTTAATTTGCATTCAAATTTCATGAAAATACAATTTTAATTAGCCTTTCTAACAATTATTATTATCCAGTTGCTAGTTCATTGCATAATTTTCAATTCAAAATGCCAATGTTGGCAATAATTAGTCTAATTTGATATGTGTCACAATTGAGGCAGGCCAACAAATTTAGGTATTAAAATCATATAAAACATAATTTCCCTAGAGACATATGCTTTTAATAATACAATGTTTACAAACACGGTGTTGGCCCACATAGTACAATTCGAATAGGGATGTTGTAATAAATACAAAAATAACATTGATATATCCAGAATGATGTTGAAGTTTGTTGTATGTTGTCTTTCTTAATGTCACCAAACAATTTAAATAAAAAATTCTTAAAATAATGTTTCTGCATCAACCCCTTCCCAGGGGTTAATATATGTTATATGTGAAGGTTATTCTATGTTTGTCCAAGCCATTGCCTGGAAGCAGAAAGAAAAGAAGAAGTACCTTTCTTCCCACTTCACACAACAAGGTACTAAGAAATACTTACCAGTGTGTAATTGATGAATTAATGTCTTTTTCTTTTTTAAAGTCACAAAGTTCACCCTAACCCCTAAATTGCAGAGTAGCTTACCTGGCAGACTTTGCAGCGGTCCTTAGGATTAATAATTTCCCTCTGACCACGGCATTCAGAACATACTGTCTGTATTTGTTGAATCATACCAGGTGCAAGTTGCTGAATTTGAACCTGCATACCAGTGCCTCGGCAAGTTGGGCAAGTTTGAACAGCACCCTAGAGAAAAAAAAATTTTATAACAAACAGCAAGGCTAACAACTTATGAATATTTACTGTTACTTTTATAAATATTTTTATTACATTGCTAAATAATTTTATATAATGTCTAGTATATATATATATATATATATATATATATATATTACATTATGTGCAAGAAAAAGTAAATTAAAACATAATATTTTTATAATTTAACTTACTTTTTTGCCACCCCGTCCTTCACATTTTTCACAAATAACATTCTTTTGTAGAGCCAGTTTTCTAACAGCACCACGGTATAACTCTTCTAATGTTACTGAAAGCTGATGTATAACATCCTTTCCTTTGCGTTCTCTGCCCTGGCGACCATGTCGACTAAAACCACCTCCAAAGAACATGTCAAACAAGTCCATAGGTGAAGAGAAGCCACTGCCACCTCCACCTTCTTTTAAAGCTTGTTCACCTCCTAAAAATTAATTTGTTAATAATACAAATTCAATTCTGTTCCAAATTATATTATTGGCTCAAGACAAGATTTACAGCTCTCAAAAACTATAATATTTCATATACACAAACATAACATTTCACATCAAAATGGGTGGGTCCACACTGGGCGCACAGACTCACTCAGCAGCTTCAGTATTTTAGAGGCAAGCCTCGCGAGGCCGGTCAAGCCATTAGAAGCCCTCGAGCAGCCAAAATGGAGTTTTTGTTGTCTTCAACTGTTTTCGTGCTGAGATTTGTTTAATGATTCTAAGATTTTAGGGATCCCAAAACATCTTGTATGTACTGTATAATTGAATAAGATGAATCAACTGCTCTTGAGTGTCCACGATGATGAAACTTTCCCACAATACATCTGCAGAATAGCCTCACAAGCCAAAACCACCATCCACATCGAACAAACAGCATACACTGAGGCCCCCTTGAGCACTTCACGTTTACCAAGAGTCTACGGCTCAGTCCCAAGACCCAAGGCAACATGCGCCCAAATGATCCCGTGCACCTGGTGTGGACCCACCCAATGCAAAATCATTACATAGTAAATGCTCTACATTAATCATAATAAACTATTACTGTTTATTTGTTACCATAGAGGACAAATAATAATTATTAAAAGTAAACACACCTTGATCGTAAATTCGCCGTTTATCAGGATTAGACAGTACTTCATATGCCTGAGATATCTGCTTAAAACGTTCTCCTTCATTTGGATTCTTATCAGGATGGTATTTGAGTGCCAATTTTCTATATGCTTTTTTAAGTTCATCCGTAGTACAATTAGGTTTCACTCCCAGTATGTCGTAATATGTAGTTTCTTTCACCATTTTCAATCCTGTATAGATTAATACATAACATAATAAGGTATAGAGATAGAACAAAATTTATTAGTCATATCACATATTAGCTGTTATAGCTATTATAGATGATCAGCTATTCTTCTGTGAAATCATAAAAAGACCTTGGCATTACAATGATCATAACAAGTGAGATCAAATAGCAAACTCATGTTATCCCTAACATAACAATAATATCAACAAACTCCTGAAATCCCATGAAACATTTCATTTCAGAACAAGTTGTCACTTTTACAGCCTATTTAAGTCTACTGCTGAACATAGGCCTTCCCCATAGATTGCCTCATAGGGGGATATTTACCATAGTTTCCAAGCTTGGCAAGCGAGTTGGTAACCACAGTTTTTTTATTTTTAGTTGTTATTAGGAAGATGCTGTTGCCCATCTCTTGATTTGTGGCCCTCTATCGCCTCTTATGATATCGACATGATATATATATATATGTATATATTGCACCACCACTAAACATTAAATATGTCATGTTGTCACCAATTGGAACAAACTACTGGAAAATATAAGTAATGCTACTACAGTGAACGCCTTACAAATAGAATACACTGGAAAAAATCTTCTGTGTGTGTTAATTAGAACTGAAATAATAATCAAAGGACAAGCGGCAGTGCGTGAGCTCGTGTCCTGATCTAAAGGATATAGAGGGTCAACGAATCTATATCATTCTTTGTTTAAAGTTGATTGCAAGTGTTCATGTGCGGCAGTAGATACTCGCCATCAGATAAACTGGATGTTCGTTTTTCACTTCAAATTTAAAAAGGAACCAAGTAAATGTCACGTAAAACGGAGTTTATACAAATTATGATACAACTCAAGTGCATACATTGATCTTACTTTAGTTCATAACCTAATTTCAGCATAGAATAAAGGCAAGTCTAGAAACCATAGAATCTCTAAATGACAGCAAGGAGGTAAGCCTAAAATTAATTGAGTTGTCAAATAAAATTTTATTATTACTGCATGATTGGTGAATTAAAAGCATGTAACAACTTTTTACCTTATTTATAATCACTTGCACAAAACCACGTAAACTTCCAGAAACAGCGAAACAGCGATTTTTGTACGTAAGACAATAGAAATGAGCTTCACACACGGTAGTCAAATGACGTTTAGACTGGACTGGATCGAAAATCGAAATTCAAGAGTTCCTCAGTTCACTGCTGTCGTCATTCACGAGTCGATCGCGATTCGCGAAATATGTTCTTTCCAGAAAATTCTACAAAGCGGTTCATTTTACGCAATAATGAAGACGTTGCCCATTTTAAAAAGCATAATTAATTAAAAATCGTTCTAAAATATGGCAAAAGGATGTATGATGTATGAAATAATTAATTAGTAATAAAAACTCTAAAGCTCGGGTTTTCAAACTGCAAAATGTTCAATAATTATCTTGATTGAAGAATAGTTTGCGTGTAATGCAAAAAGGAAATGATTAATTTTAGTAGTTTGTAAATTATTATCCAAAATTTTCTAACTTTGTGTATATACCAAATGTATTGTTGCAATGTCGAAAAATATGTTAATGTTATTTCTGATAGATTAGATTAAAATTTAATAAATCGGAACGTCTTGATGATACTATTATTTATTCTGTGGTTTGCGGTGAGCTGTATCTGGCTCACTTGAGAAATTTGGTTTTATCAACTTTTTGTGTTTATCATTGCATTTAATGCATTTTTACGATGGTGCAATCACATTCAAGCAAGGTGCAGTATTTTAAAATTTTAAATTAATTACGTTAGGTAACATTTTTTCTCATCATTTTGAATTTGATGAAAAAAATATTTCACAACTGTAGATTTTTGGATGAAAGAAATATTAGAATAAATCATAAATCGTTTGAAAATATTTGACATGAAAAATAACTAGTCTTTAAAAATATTAATTTTTTAACTCAGGCACACTTCCATCCATCTACTAAGCTATATTCACACCGTACCATGTATCTACGCTGGAAGGGTTTAAAACCCATTCTGGAAGGGTTTAAAAGGAAAGTTTATCGGTAGAGTAATTGTGTTCTGTGGGACAGTTACTATAATAATTATAGTTACTATACTCTTTGGGAGTGAGTGACATGATATGTATTAGTAACCGTAGAAGATTACATCAGGAAAAAATAACAGGCTAGAACGGTTGTGTCTAAACCTAAATATTCCTGTTTCACGAGCGATCAGGGTTCGAAAACATTATAGGAACAAGCTCTTCTGTATTCTTGCTTAGGGAGGTTATCTAAGAGAAAAAGAGATAACATTTATAACATTTATTCTCGTAAAATGCCTATTTTCATATCAGGATAGGTAGGTACATATGAATATTCTAATATCTAAATCACAAACTAATAAGAAGTAGGTACTAGCGCACAGATGACCGTCTTCCCATGGGCATGCAACTTTATTTTACGAACAAAATGATACGTTTTATGTGCTTCGATCTACATTCCGAAGCGCTAGGCTAGACTTATTTTAATCTCACTAGAGGGCACTTATATATTAAGTCTATGCATACGCAATAATCCACGGGCACTACGCAGTTAGTAGCGGTCACTGGTTACGCTTAAATTGTTATTAATATTGATTGAACATTATTTATTTTTAGAAAATGCCATTTTATCTGTGTTTTCAGACAATGACAAACTGCAAAAATATTATTACAATACGAAGGTAAATTTCGCCACAACGCACAAGGTTATAATAGCTCAGGTATAATCGGGCGGTCCCGAAATTTAAAGACCCCGAATCGCGTCCAGCAGATGTTTATTTTTTCTCTTTTTTTCAAGTTCCTTCTTTTGTAAGCGCCGTCTGTTATGCAAAGAACGACACTAAAGAAAATTAAGTTTGAGTCGCGCATCTATCTCTAGTATATACTATATTTCCTTCAGCCCATAGCAGAAATACGATCCTCTTAGAACTTTGATCGTTATTGGCTTAAATTTATGTACGTGTTCACAATGTGAACATATACATAAATTTAAACCATTAATAATTTTCATTCAGGTATAAAGAAATAAAAAACTTTATTAAGTCTTTTATTTTTATATTTCGGTGTAAATTTACAAGTGCATGTGCTTTTTTGTTATCGGAAAATTCTTTACTTCTTTAATTGAAAATTTCCTTTGAAAACTCTTATAGTTACAATCCAATATTTTTTTTATCGAAGTAACTTATGATTCTTTGCCACAAAAGTATAAATATTCAATGCAATTCAACTAATGTTGATGTAACGACTTTTTTTACATTTTTCCCCTTATAGCTTTTGTGTTTTGTGCTTCTTGCCTCATTTACCAAATCAAATAACTTATCGAACAGGAGAACAGTTGATGCAGTGTTCCTCAATGTCTGGCTCACCTCATTACCATGAACACCACAAGCTAAAAAATATATTTTAAACTCATTAATAATTACAACATACTTAATGTCAAACGAAAATAATTTATATTACATGTTAAACTTACAAAAAATTGCAGCAAAGTTCAAAGCTTGTGCGACTAAAAAGCTGAGATTTCTTAGGCAGTTTTTAACCTGAAATATAAATAAAAATGGTTTAAAAAAGTATTAATGAGTTGACAAACTTAGTAATACTTTAAAACTTAGTATAGCAAAATTCCTTTTTAGATTCAAGCAAAGTCACTAAGGGCTAATTTTTCAATGGTGACATAAAAGTTTTTTTTTATAGAATAAGGATGACAAACGAACACACAGTCCACCTGATGGTAAGTGGTTGCTGCGGCCCATGGACATCTACATCTATCTTCGTTTGCGAATTAAAATGCAGATGTGTTGTCAGCCGTGAGGACTAAGATAGAATGCACAGATAACTGTATACTAGATAGAATGCCTCTTTTCCAGTAAAAAGTTATTAATGTTATTTAAAATAAAATACAATATAAACAAATGGGTTACAGTTGAATAAAATAGTTCAATTGTTTGACTTCACATTAGCTTGTAGACAATTTACTGATAAACTTGGCAGATTGGCATTCACATTCTATTTTTTTATTGCCAGTTTAGACATTAGATATGGCTATACGAGTATTTACAGATATCTTGCAATCTGCCGAACATCCATAATTTCCTATAATCTTTATTATACTATTACAACACAGGATATAGATAGGGTAACACAACCTTGTTTGCTTGTTGCTTGTTTATATGTATATTAAGAAAAAGATGTGAGAGAAGTATAATTATTTAAATGCATAATTCTCCATATTGATATGCATTCTGTGTCGAACTCCTTATTTTAAACAGTTTCAGAAGTAGATAGCATGAGGACTTCTGCATGTATGAAAATATTTATTATTATTAGAGATATTGAAAAAAGATTCAATATAAATACTCTTTTTTTTATTACCATCAGATTTGCATGAATTTGGTATGCGGTAATATACTATTCTGACTAAAAAATCTCACTTTGTATATGCATTATATGCGCCTTAAGTGGTCACGCATTTGAAAAACAATTCTCAGTAGTATCGTAAAGTTAGTCACACATCATTCAGTACCACTGCTACTAGTTGTGTCAAGTGCAATAAAACAATTTATTACTTTATACGTTGTAAAATTATTTTGTAAGTGCATGGTTAGCAAATGTATCATTTACTTAAATAGACTACATCTGTCTCTAATAAAAGTCATTGAGTGTAACACAAAAAACATTCAGTCAAATAAACATATCTATGACTTACCTTCTCTCAAAATTTATCGAGTGTCACTCAGAGTCAACCTCCGTCATTTCAATATTTTGAAAATTAGGTTGCATCATGGGCATCTTAATACGTATAAATAAAAATGACATTATAATGTAGGACATTACAATAGTGGGTTTTGTAACATATTGCATTTACTAATTACAAGTACAAACTATACAACCCGTGTGTTTCCAATGATGACATATGGATCTGAGATGTAGTCCTTTACTGCTGGTCATATAAGGAAGTTCAAGGTCACTCAGCGAGCTGAGC